TGAAATGCGTGCTATTTAGTTTCAGTTTATTGTAATCACAAGAACAAACATTTTCAACTCGATTTCTATAATAAAGATAGTCATTTGAACAAAATCATAACGTATTTTTATTACTAGAGAAAAAAGATTTTCTAAAATACAATATGAAATACAGAATACATCCCTTGTCTTATGAGTTTTTTAAATTCATCAAAATAATTTATTTTAAAATTCTATTAACTTCTTTTATCACAACTTGATTTACAAGTAGACTGGTGTATATTGCAAAGAAGGTGTTCTGAAGGTGTTTGTACAACGGACATACACATCTCATGCTGACCTGCGCAATCTTCTGGACATCCTCGTTTTGATACTGTATTATTGGAACACAATGCATTGCACGTTTGACGAGAATTAAAGCATGCGAATTGTTCAACTTTTGTTCCAAATAAAATACATTGGTCAAAATTGAATTGACATTTTGCTTCACATGTTTCTGAATTTTCGTCTTCAGTTTTTGAATACGCAAAAAAACATTTGGGGTAACAGCGTATGAAGGTTTCACTACAACCAATTTTTTGAAGGTGATTATCACTTAAAAATTGACAATCTTCATTTGCATAACGACAGTTTGTAGCGCATTTAGATTTTTGTTCAGATATAAGGAAAGGAGAAGAAATGTTTTCCGATATTATTCGTTTTGTTGATTTTTCATTTGCGGAACTTGCATACTGTTCTAATAGTTTACTTAACTCTTCAAGAGTTGCACGATTAATGTCACGTGTCGAGACACAAACAGCAAAAGCAAGACACAACAAAGCTAGAATATTCAAAAGCATGTTTGTATAATACATACATACATACATACATACATACATACATACATACAGGGCCGTATCCACCATTTTTTGGTCTTCGAGATATCTAACTTCCAGACTTGGAGCAAACTCCAAACATTTATATGTTTATACTTATGTCAAATAAGGATGCTTTGCAAAAAATTGCGATGGTTGGAGCTTGGGAACAAAAAAGCCCCATAATTTGTGCCCCCTGCCCCAAACGTGAGAGCAACAAGTTGATGAAATATTTTTTATACTATTTTCAACTAGACTTATATTCATTGATAAATTTTAAATTTCATAGTAAAATATTTCAGCGTTCAAAAATTATGACCATATAAAGTTTAAATCCCCCTCAATTTGAGGGGGTTGCACATTTTATATTGTTATAATTTTTGAACACTGAGAGATAATACTATGAAACACATATAAATGTTTGGAGTTTGTTCCATGTCTGGAAGTAAGATAACTCGAAGAACAAAAAATGCTAGATACGGCCCTGCATACATACATACGTAGATACATACATACATAAATACATACATACATTCATATATATATATATATATATATATATATATATATATATATATATATATATATATATATATATATATACGTGTATATATATATATATATATATATATATATATATATATATATATATATATAACTATTAATATAATTTAACCAATAAAATGAAAAGTAAACAAAATATATTTAACACTAGAGGCCTTTCAATGTTTCATCAGTAGTGCTAGTTTAACTTGATAAAAGCACTTAAACTAGCACTACTGATGAAGCATTGAAAGGACTCTAGTGTTAAATATATTTTGTAATATTTTATTAAACACCTTTTTAGAAATATAAAAAACTTTTTCTGAAGTTGTTATTTTGCTTTTCATTATATATATATATATATATATATATATATATATATATATATATATATATATATATATATATATATATATATATATATATATATATATATATATATATATATATATATATATATATATATATACACACACAGTGCTATATATACACACACAGTGCTGAAGTTGTTATTTTGCTTGACATACACTTTTTATTACATATATATATATATATATATATATATATATATATATATATATATATATATATATATATATATATATATATATATATATATATAAATATATATATATAAATATATATATTTATATATATATATATATATATATATATATATATATATATATATATATATATATATATATATATATATATATGAATATATATATATATATATATATATATATATATATATATATATATATATATATATATATATATACACAGTGCTCGAAGTGGAGAAAAAAAAAGTAACGGGATGGTATTCGGTAAATTAAAAATACCATCCCGCTTAATCATTGTGATCTATAGAAATTTATAAAAAAGTGACGGGATGGTTTATACTTTATAAAAAGGTGACGGGATGGCATCCCGCCGCAACCCGCCTCACTTCGAGCACTGTATATATATATATATATATATATATGAATATAAAAAGGAAGGAAATCAAAGAAACCTTTTCGTGGTGCAATATGACTTTTAACTTACAGTAGATTTTTAAGTGTTTTTTTGTTTGTTTGTTTTGTTCTCTTATTTTATTTAGTTTTTTTCTCTTTCTTTTTTTTTTTTAAATTTTATGTGTACTAGTCCATGTTATATTAAGAAATAATAAATAGCAATATATTAGACTAAAGTAAAGTTTTTTTCGTGAACTGTAATCAAAAAGAGATTTATATAAAATATTCATTGCAGTTGAAATTTTTGATTCAATCTGTCCATATGATTTCTCTATGAAATTTTTTTTATCAACTTACACACCAAGAAACTTTGAATATTTTTCCCGCTTTATTATTATGCAATTATTGAGCAACTCTGAAATAAATGGAACATTTATTGATTTATTGACCTGTTTAATGAAACAAAATGTAATTAGTTTCTCATAGTTTGAAAATAGTTTGTAAAACAGAAATTAAAATTTTTTAATTGAGTACTCATTATTGCATTTTAAATTATCAAGATTGTTTAACAAAGTTGTATCATTAGCATACATTATTGAAGATACTATAGCATATAATAATACTATTTATAATACGTTTTACTCCACTGCAAAAAAGAATTTTTTTGTCAATATTGGAAAAAAAAATTTAATACTTTATTAGTTATTTTCTGCAAACATTTTCATCATTTGATAATTTAATTTTTAAATTTCCCCTTAATAAGAGACATTATTGCCTGTTTATTTTTTTTTGACAATAACCACTGCAATCTTAAGGATTTCAACAAGTGTTTTAGTTGATTAAGATGCTTTATTAGTTGTTTTCAACAGAATTTTTTATCATCAGATAATCAATTATTTTTTAAATTTCCCCTTAATTAGAGACATCTACTGCCTGTTCGCTTTTTTTGATAACAACCACTGCAATCTTAAGGATTTTGACAAGTGTTTGATTAAAACGCAAAGTAATTGATTAAAACGCATTCAAACATAGAGAAAACTTCAAAATTTTTGTATGTTTATATCAAATGAAAGTATTTTGTGAAAAATTATAAAATTAAAGTCTAGGAACAAATAACTTCCAAAAAATTGGGTTATTCGGCAGTTGAGTTAGGGAAAGGCATAGATTTTTGTTTCCAGACTCCATTCTCTAAAATATTTGATATAATAAATAATGTAAGCACCTTAAATAGCATAGTAAAGATATTAGAATAGCTGCAGCTAATTCCGTAGAATCTTCTGAATAAGTTTCAATAATCATTTTTTAGTCTTATGTGCAACTACTGCAACAATGCCATTAAGCTATGATGAGTACTTCCTTTTAAGTTACGTATTGTTAACTACAGTAGAACAATCAACAAGATTAAAAGAGTATTTATTAAGTTTTAGCAAACTGATTCCATAACAGCATATTGCATACTGCTAACTGTAGTATTCTGATATATATTTTGTTAGTTTTAGTAATATTTTAAAAAGTTTCCAATAAGAATATGCTCATAACATAAAAAACTTGTATAATAGATTCTCTTCCACTTCCACATTTGTATCACAGATTTTCTGTCACATTTCTTAATACGCCATAAGATTGCGTATTTTAACTTATGAAGTTTTAACTCGTTTTATAACTTATTTTGGGAGATGTAAAATATTTTTTTGAAACATCACAACAAATGCATTTAATTTTAAACGACAAAAAAAATTTTACGTTACAAGATTTTCCAGATTGCCTTTACAAATATGAAAATATCTTTTTTAAAAAAAGATTAAAATTAATAATTAAAAAGTTGTTTAACTCATTATCAACCATCTCTAATTTATCTTTCGTTTTTTTGCTGATAATCTTTTTATTTCTAAAATTTATTAACTAAAAAAATCATTTTCATAACTTACGACAATTTAATGTAATCGAAAGTTTATAACCAAAAACAATCATCAATGTTACTTTAATTTATGACTTATTTTAAAATTTAAAGAGCATCATATGATAAATGATTGTTAAACTCAAATTATGAAACAAAAATAGGTTACTATAATTTTAAAAATAAAAACTAACACGGTTGCTATAGTGGTTGCTAGTGGTGTAAAAATACCGTTGTGGTTTTAAATATTAATTACGGTTCTTTCTATCAAATTTTTTTTATAGAAAGTGAAATGTTATTCATATTCAGAGTATTCAAATGAATTTAAAGAAAAGAGTACAACCTCCTTCAATTTGAGAGAGTTAAAATTTTTATATGGTCAAAGCTTTTGAACACTGAGAGATTGTGTTGTATGAAACTTAAAATTTATCGATGAATATAAGTCTAGTTGAAAATAATAAAAAAGAGATTTTATCAACTTGTTGCTCTCACGTTGAAATCAGGGGGAAAAAATTGCCAATTTTTGCAAATCATCCTTATTTGACAGAAGTATAAACATTTAAATGTTTAGAGTTTTTTCTCCAAACATGTTTGTTCTCAAACATCAAAATGATCCGCACCTGATATATATATATATATATATATATATATATATATATATATATATATATATATATATATATATATATATATATATATATATATATACACTTAAAATACTCACTACTAAAACAATACTAAGCCAACCAAATGTTAACAAAGACTAAATAAAAAAGTAAAATACCATTTAATCAAAACAATATTATAGGATAATAACAATAGGGTAAAAATTTGTCCATTTATAACATGAACATTCTTTTGTTGAATGATATTCTTGAAGTTACCGTATTAGTTCATTTGTATAACAATTCTAAGATATAATATAATTTATATAACAACTAACAAGTTGATTTGCATTTAGCTTCAATTAAATTACAACGATAATGTTCTAGCGGTGTAATTGCCTGATTAGTGCATAATTCATGTTGACCTGCACAATCTTCTGGACAACCTCGTTTAGATGTAACTACTTTATCGGAACACAATGCATTGCATGTTTTACGAGAATTAAAGCATACGAATTGTTCAATTTTTGTTCCAAATAAAATGCATTGGTCAAAATTGAATTGACATTTGCTTTGACACGTTTTAGTTTTTTCACTTTCTGATTTCAGTTGCACAAAAAAACATTGTGGAAAACACTGGATGAAAGTTTCACTACAACCAAGTTTTTGAAGATGGTTGTCGCTAAGGAATTCACACTCATAGCTCGTATCACGACAGCTTGTTGCACATTTAACTTTGTGTTCAGGTATAAGAAAAGGAGAAGAAAAACTACCTGATAATGTTTTTTTAAATGATTTTTCTTTCATGGAATTTTCATACTGTTGTACAAGATTACTTAACTGCTCAAGAGCAGCACGGTTTATGTCACGTGTTAAAACAACACGATTTATGTCACGTGTTAAAACAGCACGGTTTATGTCAAGTGTTAAAACAGCAGAAATAAGGCACAACAATGCTAAAATAATCAGAAATAGTGCGTATATACATAAATAGAAATAGTGCGTAAATACGTAAATATAAAAGAAAAAGGTATTCTAAACAACAAAAAAAATTGAAGAGTGTTATTAACTTTATTACTTTATTTACAATTATGTGTAAAGAAATAAAGTAACAATTGTTTTAATATAAAGTTATACTTTTAAAAGAAACAAAACCTATTTATAAAAACAAATGAAGATATTGTGCACAGAGGCGATTCTACAAATAAAATGAGGGGGGGGGGCTGAATCCTCAAAAACTAGCTACTAAAAAAAAAAAAAAAGGTCCTCAAAACGAAATTTTAACCGTCTAGCCGACTAAATACGTAACAAAACCGACTGTAACTTGAAGATCTCCTTCTTTTTACACCCACCACACCCCCCGTAAAATCGCCTCTTATTGTGCATATATATATATATACATATATAAACATATATATATATATACATATATATACATATATAAACATATATATACATATATAAACATATATATACATATATAAACATATATATACATATATAAACATATATATACATATATAAACATATATATATATACATATATAAACATATATATATATATATATATATATATATATATATATATATATATATATATATATATATATATATATATATATATATATATATATATATAAAATTGAACAAAATGCATTTTAGCGCGTTTCGTTTAGTGGTTTTATTGTTAACGCTGGGTTAAAATATTGAAAATACGAAACAAAACGCGTTAATGACTAGTTTTGCTCAATGTTTTTCCCCATCCAAGATGGTAGCACGTTTTGTAATGCTACTGTGACCCCAAGATTTTTGACACAATATCATCATTTTATTATGTAGATGAAAATGTGTATTTAACATATACGCAAAAATGTATGCAAATATATATGAAAAAAACTAATTTAGGTAAACTAAATTTAAGTTTATTCTTCTATAGATATAAACCAGCACTTTTTTATATTTTTCTTAAACAGCCTTTTTCTTCAGAAATTTTTTTTTCGTGTTTTAAAATTTTTTAAAGATTGCTGATTACTTCTCGTTGAATTTGTATTTCTCTCATTTACTCTTCATCTAGTTAGTTCAGCATACTCAAATATATATATATATATATATATATATATATATATATATATATATATATATATATATATATATATATATATATATATATATATATATATATATATATATATATATATATATATATATATATATAACAATTAGAACTAAATGTTTTGATTACATTAGCTTGAACATAAATATTCTGAGAATTATCTTCAAATAGTTAATGTTGTTTAACTTTTCTTTTTATTTTGTTGTTGTCATTTATCACTTTTTAATAAAAAGATCTATCAACATTTTGATCCGTAAGGTCTCCACCCATGTTATCTAGAAGCGAGTAATCTACAGCATTCATTATTATATCAAAAATCTTTTGAACTTTTCACGTCAGTCTTGATTAAAAGCAGAAAGTACCAAAAAACTTTTTATGCGATACAATATTGGGGCTATCAATAAAATGTTAAGAGCCAAACTTGAAACTCATTAACACAAAACTCTGCATTTTCGGATTAAAAAGTTTACATATTAATCTTGAAATTCTCATATCGAAGTAAAGTGTTCCTTAATGCTAAAAACTGGAAAAGTTTTTGTGTCCTTAATGCTAAAAACCGGAATTGTTTATAGCATTGAGGAGAATTTCTTCAATGCTAAAAATTTGCTTTTTGATAATTTCCGGAATTATATCGATAATATCGAGTTATAAGTTCTCCTCATTTATCTAATTTGCTTTAGTCCGTTTTCTTTAGAAGCAATAATTGCCATCAGTTTTTTACGTAATCAAGCTACCACTCAAACAGGTTACACGTAACTTTTAAAAATAGCATCACAAGTTTAATCTAAGTGAATAAAACATGTGTTTATTTTGTTCATTTATTTCATTATGTTAAAATTTAATAAGTTCAAAAGTTTATTTTTGTATTTCACAAATTTTAACACAACCCCCTCGCACCTACTAAAAAAAGGAGTATGATGCATTCATCTTTGACCACCATCATAAAGTTTCCTATAGACATTTTTTACATATCTTCGTTTAAATCTCTGGTACTGGCTATGATTAATAATTAAAATAAATAAACAATTATTTTAAATTCTTTGAAAATTTTAAAAATACTTCGTTTTTTAAAAGGTGTAAATTTTTAATGTCACATTTTTGTCAAATTTGGCATTGTCAAATTTTAGGTCAAATTTGGCAAATTTTATTTAGTAATAATTACTAAAATTAAAAAATTCATTCTTGTATTTGTTTTGACTTTTGGTTATTTATATATTGATTGTGATTATTTGTACCTAAGTTTTGGTCATTATAACCGGAATTTTAAAAATACACTAATGATAACTGCAAGTTTTTAGAAAAAACTATTTTAGCAATTCTCTTAAAAATAATTTCAGTTTAAAACAATCAGACGTTTTTCATTTGCTTTTTTGGAAGGCTTTTTTTTTAGCTTCTTTTAACTGTCTCTTGTTGTCAGCTTAAGAATCAGTTTCACGCTATCCAATCTGTAGCCTCCAACCGCTATCTAATCTGTAGCCTCCAAATTCTCAATAATTCAGATATTAATCTCGGCGTAATTGTTGACTGATTCAATTGAATTTAAAATTTAAAAAATGTTTTATTTAATAGTCATTATTAATTTTTCTGTCATCATCAATCAATCATCTGTCAATCATCTAACATCATTTGTCAATCGTCTGGGTCTGCCGTCAGCCGTTGTCAGCCGCTTTAAAGAATCCGCTATAAATCTTGAAAATAAAAAAATTAATATTAAATTTATAAGAAAAAATTGAAAATGTGTCTTAATTTAAAAACAAAAATGTATGAGAATGATCCAACATTTATTAGCTATTTCAATCAAATCTGAAAATCATCAACACGTATCGTCTGCTGAAAAAACAGAGCAAGGAAATGTTAAGAATGTTTGTAAATATAGTAAAGACTCCAACAAATACTCTAGTGTTAAAAACAAGTTGTGTTGTAGCATTTGGCAAAGACCTAATCAGTAATGTTGAAACCTAATGGGCATGAATTGTCCGGGGGACGTCTGTCGAATGTCTGAACGTCCTTGAGACGTCCAGCAGACGTCCTAGAGACAATGCGTGCTTACTAGGAATATTCTAAAAAATTTATAATCTCATTTGTCTTGTCAACATTCTTGGTTTGTTTAGCTGGAGCTGCTCTAAAGGAGTAGATCATTTGTAATGAAAATATCAAATGGTGTAATTCTCATAATAATCTTTTCAATAACAACAGTAATAATCCGGTTTTTCTCCGCTTCGTTGATACGCCATTGAAGTGCAGGATAAGCTTCTTTCCCTTCAAGGTTTCAATTGTATTTCCTAATAATTAAAATAACTTTGTCATTTTATTTGACTTTTATAATTTTCAATAATTTTTATTTCTACTTATTCTTACCTAAATCTTAAATCTTCTTAAACCTCTTGCAATGAGTTGAGCTGCAGACGGGTACATCCTCATGATTTAAACGTTCTTTATTGCAGATTGCTGCAATAATTTTGGTTTAAGATCGGATTATTATCCAAGCAAATACGGCAGAAGTGAAATCAACAAAACCCTCTGGACTGGTACTTATCAATTTCTAAATAATAAACATACTTCTAATCTATTTAAATGCAGTTTAATTTAAACTAATCAAAATCAGTATAATCTATTTTAAGTTTAAGTTTTTATCTTTTATTTTATTGGCATTTACTGTAGATACAGAGTTCTGAAGTAATTCATCGACATAGTATTAATCAATGGAAATTACTGCTTTTAACTTTGAAGGAAACTAGCATTATTTTTTAAGTGAACCATAAGTTTACTTAAATCCAGTTCTTTTTTCTCTTGTTTTTTTTTTTACTTCTACAATCTTTATATTTTCAATTTGCCACCAATCCTTTTTGTAACAAATATTTTGAGTTCATTGTCTAGCACTGAAGTAACATTTTTTGATCTTTTTTCAGATCTAAAAAAAAACAGAACGTTCTCTACCCTGGAATCCAAAGAACAAAGCTAACCTGATTGGATTTTTCTTTTAAACTACCCCACATATATAAAGATCTTGTCTTGAATAAAATCTTTCTGAATCTTTGAAAATCTCCCAATGCTGAAATGTTTGCAATACATTGTGTTAAACTTTACAATCTTATTTCTTAATAACATAAGGGTTAATGATTAGTTAAAAAATATACATTTATTACATATTTTTAATAAAATAAATATGTTTATTATCTAACAAAGTTTCGGAAAACTCCGTATTCAGATTTGATTAAAATAGCTAATAAATGTTGGATCATCCTCATACATTTTTGTTTTTAAATTAAGACACATTTTCAATTTTTTCTTATAAATTTAATATTAATTTTTTTAGAAGTAACACATCTGAGACAAAATCAACCTTATAAATGTAAGATTTTTGAGGGGAAGCTACATGCAAACAGTATAACATTTTTAAAGTTTAAAAACCTCAGAGACTTGATAAACTCTATTTATCTTCTCAATGCTGGGAAGCTGGTCCATGAGCAACTGGTTAACAGGACTCCGGATTCGAAGGTCCTTCCCAGTTTTTGGTATATAGGAGTTCCAAAAATGTAAATAAACTTATAGACTACTAATCAATTTTTAAATCCATAGTCCTTATGTATAGTGGTGGCAAGGACTCGGGGCTTAAAAACAATAGGTTTCAAGTTATTAAATCTCATGAATTTTTTACTTGCAGATCGTAATTTATTTCGATCGAAAGATCGAAAGATCGTAATTTATTAGATTGAAATTAATTTTTTACAGCAGATCGTAAATCACTCAACATTTTTCTAGGACATCAGAGTCCATTAAAAATTAGAGATTTAAAACCGGAGTCCTTTTAGATCTCCGCATCTCTAGTTTAGACTAAAGACAACTTAAATTAGCATGTTATCACACTAATAACAATGAATAAGAATTAGCATGTTATTAAACTAATAAAGTTTTTAAACTCAAGGATTATTATTAAATTCAAAAACAAAATATAAGATTAGAAATATTTCTATCTAAATTGTTTAAACATTAACGATTGGATATTTGTTTTCAAAAAATTGATTATTTTTTAGTTTTAAAGATACCACTATTTGTCTACGGATTTTTATCTTGTTTAAACTCAAACAACGTATTCCAAAAATAGTTTTAATGGGACTCATTGAATATATACTTGGCTTTATACAAATGAAAAGTTTTAACAATCATTGAAATCATCCGACAATTTTTAAGTAGATTTTTCATTAGACGAACTTTAATATTTGTTGAGCTTTCATAGAACTAATAAACATGCACATTAATAACGAAAAAAATTAACTAAAATCCCATAATCCTATCTCCTCGATATTGTGCATTAAATGGAGTTTTATGTTAATCTTATATTTATCGATAGATTAAAATATGCGCGTAATCGATTTGTATAAAGTTATTAAAAAAAATTAATACTATTTTTAATCTTTTTTTAATTTATATTTTTGTTTATTTAAAAAAATGAGAAGTTAAAGTTGTAGAATATTCAAAAAATGTATGAAAGGGTAAAATTTAACGCATTTTTAACTTTGTATCCTACGCTGCGAGTGCGCAAAAGACATGGGTTTTTCCTCAACGCAGTTTTTGTCATGGCGTCGAAACACCGTCTACTCCTTTTGCAATTTTTAAATAAGAATTATAAAAGATATAGGAGATTTAAAAAGGATTAATATTCAAGTAAACTAATAATAATACGGCTATACACTATTAGACTTCCTGAGAACTTAACCCCCCCCCCCCCCAATCAAAAAAAAAAAAAAAAAACTTGACAGAACTCTTTCGTAAAAGGTTTTAGGATATATATATATATATATATATATATATATATATATATATATATATATATATATATATATATATATATATATATATATATATATATATATATATATATTTGAATTTAATAATGCTTATTTAAAGTAAAAAACCGTTAAATGGATTGATAAAATATTCAAACTAATTACTCGAGGTTTTTGTCGTACGATATTATATATTGAAATCATTCCTTTTTAAAAAGTCGGTTCCGGTTTATACAAAAACAATCATAATGTCATAATAACATTTACTTTTTTTGTTTTCAATATAAATAAAAAATTGCTTGATAAAAATGATAATAATATAAGATTTTATATACATATATATATATATATATATATATATATATATATATATATATATATATATATATATATATATATATATATATATATATATATATATATATATATATATATATATATATATATATATATATATATATATGTATAGGCCTGCGCGAATAGGTGTCAAGTGGGGTGAAACTGGAAAAAATTCTCAAATACTCCTTTAGTTACCAACTAAACATAAATAGACTATTCCTTCTCCCCCTCCCTTACACACATCACTCCCTTCGCGCCAGCAGACTTTTGGCCTCCTAAAGCCATCTTTTTTTCTAAAAAAAGAAAAAATTAATAAAAAATTATAAAAATCTTTTGCGTTAACCCAACCCAAGCCCTCAATCGATGTAGCAGTAACTCCATTGCATGCTCTCCCAATATAAGTCGATGTATGTACTGAAGCCCTCGGTAGCTCCTTATTAAAACGTCAAAGTGCCAACCTAAGTATACTCTTATATGTATGTATGCATGTGTGTATATATATATATATATATATATATATATATATATATATATATATATATATATATATATATATATATATATGTATATATATATATATATATATATATATATATATATATATATATATATATATATATATATATATATATATATATATATGTTTGTGTGCATATATATCGAAGTTTATTGTGTTTTAGCAACAATCTTAATCTGTAGAAAAAGTTAGAGCGCAGGGGGTGAACTGCAGCAACGTGTATCTTAGTATTCCGAATAGGGCATACTGTTGCATAAGCTTAAAAAGCCTTTCTGTCAAATATTTTAATACCTTCAAATATATTAAAAGTTAATCCTTCTTTTACAATACTTTTATTGTTTAAAATGGAGTCAAACAATATATATGTAAATAAGACTGTGAAAAAGTTATGAAAGTTTTGTTTTAATTTTAGAATGTATATCACTACCAAAAAATATACAACTTACCCAAAGTATTCATTTTCGTAACTTTATTTAATCTTATCACACAACAAAGTTAAACAGCAAACACTTCTGTATATATAGATGATGATAAATATTATGATACAAATGTGTAATATAAATTTAAAGTAAACTTTTAAGTTTGTATTAACATGAAAATTAAGCCAAACTTCCGTGTTGTCTAGTTGTTTAGCGTTGTAAGCAAGAACAAATCTGTGGTCATAATTCGTATAACAAAGTTGCTTTAAATATAGAACCGTTGTCACTCAATTTTTCTATTGTTTCAAAAAACAATCAAGATTATACGTCATCGGACAAAGTTATTAACGCAAAGAAAAAATTCTTACCTAATATTAATTAACACTTTCAATTAAAAATTGTAATACTTTTTTGTTTGAAAAATTGTTAAAAAATACAAATTAACTTAACTATGCAAAATTAAATAAAAATTTTATATTTATCTTTTTTTTTCATCGGTTGCATAATTTTTGTTTCTTTAAAAATTCTTATTGTTGCCATATTGTATACAGATGAGTAGTGGATTTAGTCAATTATATGTAATTGCTTACCGGTTACGTTGTTAAAAACAACGATAATTATTGACATTACAGATTCACTGAGAAAGCAAAACCTAACATTGTTTTTCTAATTATAAAGATCATAACTATTACATAAAATCTTTAAATTTTGTAGAAAAATATAAAAAGCAAATTCACTTTAAAAGCTATTTAAGAATATGACTGTTCTAGCTGTCTAGGGCTTAACCCTTAAACCACTTAATGAGGATCGCGTAATGCTATACAAGATCTAAGTCATAATAATAATAATATCCCAACATCACAATGACTACAAAAATCAATATTTAAACTGTTTGTATCGAAATAAATATTTGAACATAATTGTTGCTTTTAGATAGCAATTATAATATTACGACAATTTAGATTGCCTTCGGACAAAACGCAAGTTGCCCACGTAATAGTTTTGAATAAATTATTAAAAGTTTTTATTTTTTACCGTTTTAAAGAAAAATTCATTTAAAAAAAATGTTTTTGTATTTGAAAAAAATTACTCTTTTCACGGGTTGATATTTACGCACAAGCACGGTAAAACCTGCTGCGTAATTTTTTAAACATTAACTGAGGCGTTAATTAACTTAACAAGTTAGTATGTTTTATATTAGCGGCATATTACATTAATTATGCTAGATATATAATCTTGTTTAACTGACTCATTGTAGTAAAGTTTGTTTCTTTTGATTGTCAATGCCAACTTATCCACGATTTGTCTGGACCATTTGGATTGTACAAAATCCGATCTAAACGCTAAAATATCCATTATTTCAGAATTATGAAATAATAGATGCAAAATTTTTTTAAAAGCTGTTTGAAAATAATATCTGCTTGTTCAATGAGGGCTTTTGAAAGTAGGTATACACACACGCACACACGCACGCAAACGGGAAAGTTTTAAATTGTTATTTAATTAAGCCAATAAATAGAATGTTAAAAAAACTCCAAAGCTGTTACAGTAAAACTGCAATTAGTGCACCGCGGCGGCCTAATATTTTTACTGGCCATGGTACATTTCTGGCAACTTTGTTCTAATAACGAAAACTTTTTCTTTTTTGATTGTAAATTTCTTAAAGATATAATTTTGTAAATTCATTTTAAAATCAGTGCAACCGAAATTGAAATGAGTTTAACTTAGCATATTAAGAGAAACTTTAAAAATTAAATAAGTCAAAGACACATATACGTTTCATATATAAATATTTTATTTTTAATCATAAAAAAAATTTGTTTATGTATGAAATTTAGTGCAAGAATCTCTTAGTTATTTTTTTTAAGCTTCAGTATGAAGGTTTTTAAATTAGGGGCATTTTGAGCTCAAATTGAAAAAACCTCATACTGAAACTAATTGAGAAACTCAAATGTTTCTTAAATATTTTCTAATTGGAACTATTTTTTAGGCTGCTCAGACAAAAAAAACGCAGTTTAGAGCTGCTTGGGTTGTTTAAAATAATACTTCAAAGGGCACTGTTTACATTTCCTAATAATTGTGCAATAAAAATGTTTTTTAGAGAATTTCTTAGATAAGTGTTTCAAGCTTTAAAAACTATATTCTTATATATTTATGTTGTTTGAGAAAGTGATTAAATTATTTGAGCCTGTTTCATGTTTCTTATTCGTTTCATAGTTTATGCCATATTTTAGCCTTGTGTTATTTATATAGATAATTTATGCAAAAAAGTCTTCATTGATCATATAACTGTTTATTATCACTATTTAACAGAAGTTAACATCATAAACAAACACAACAAAGATTTGCGTTAATTATAAATTTTACTAAAGGTTTAAATGCAGAATAATAAACATTTTGAGAATCATAACAAAACTTTAATTAACATACCCGATAAAAGCTACCTTAAGATTGTCTAAGGATCGTCTACTTTATCAACCTATTACTTGAAGAATGAAAACTTTAAAATATTTCTTTGTTAATGTCAAAAAATTCGCATACAAATGCTTTCATGTGCACTTTACACTTACAAGTTTTATGTTTTCATCATAAGCACGATTTTTAACCTAACAATTAGTTCTTTAAACCTTGGCACTTAAAAAAAAAATTTGCATTGAAATTTAGAAAAATAAAAAAAAAAAGAAATTAAAAATGCCTAATTTTCATAACATGCTAGATAAACGTGCTAAACACGTTACAATAACATGTTGTTTGAGGAAACAAAAAAGTATTTATAAACATGTTTATTAAAAAAAAGTTTTTTAGCTTTGAACTTCTTGTGAAGTCATCATTACTGAAGTTTTTCATTATTTGTTTTGCAAATATTGATAACATATATATTTTTTACATTTAGAAAATATGTTTTTAAAGTGGACCGAATATTGACCAATTTTATTAGAAAAAGAGAATATAACAATTTGCTTAAGTACATCCGTAAACACAAAGTTTTGCAAACAAACACTTAAAAATCCAAGTTGAAAAAATAACTTTTTTTCTAGAGCTCAGATGTTGTTTGTAGTAGACTGGACACTTTTATGCATCACTTTACTCAATTAGATTGTTTTATATCATCTGCCAAATAAACAGATGTCTAATTTTCCAAATTTGTTATTCAATGAGGAGCATATTTATGTTATTCCTTTTGATTTTTTTTACTCAAGTTCTTTGCAAAACTAGAAACCTAACTACTTAAAAAGCGGAAAAATGTTTTACAGGCTAAAACTCACTGATTGGAACTAATTTACTAATTGGTCCCGAAATTGAAATTCCATTTAGTTTACAGGAATCTATTGTTTCGTCTTTTATGTCACTGATTTTCGATTTTTACGGCTTAAGCGACGAACATATACTAAATAAAGCTGTTAAATTAATATAAAAAAATTTTCTGAAATACTTTAACGAATTACAGTTTATTAAAAGGTTTAAAATGTTTTGGTTAAAATGTTTTTTACTTCAGTTGTTGAACTCTTAGATATTGGGGATCAGTTTTTATGTAAAAGCAAGAAATCTAAAATAATCAACATTTAAAGTTAATAAGAAGACAAAGAAAAGTGCTTTCTCAAAAAATATTTTTTTAGCAACTTCTAAAGAAATACATTTATTTAATACACTATACAATTTAAAAACATAATGAAATACGATAGAAACTTTATTTAAATTAATTTCCATAGAAATGCTAAAATAGTTTTTTTTTTTAAACAAATTTTTCTTCACATTAAATATATCAATAAAATATATATTTGCAGTAGCTTCTATTGAAATTGCTATGAAAATTCTTTAACGAGTTTTTATAGAAATTGTATTAGAACATAAAACTTATTGAAATTCTATTAGAATTTCTCTTAATTATATGCTTTGAAAGTGTGTGAAATATTAAAGGAATTTTTAAATCTGGGGCGGTACATCTAAATATTGACTGTTAACAAAATGCATTTGAGGAAGTTTACTTTGTACCAAAAAGCAAATTTTTAATTGATAAGCAATTAAAAAGATAATACATTTTTTACCAAAAAGTAAAAATTAATTACTAGTTCAAACCTAATAATTAACTTTTAGAAAAACCGTGTAAAATAAATAAAAATCTTTCACCAAAAGGTTTTTTTTTCCATTTTAAACTCAAATCAAATTCAATCAAAAAAAAAAAAAAAATTACCTTAAATTAATTACGCGTATATAATTAGACTGGATCAGAATTTCAATTTAGTTTTTTGTAGAATTTCTTAGCCATAAAACAATATCTTTGTTTTCACTTGATTTGTTTCTAATTTTATATTCATCCTAAATGGGATTCCAAAACTGCGTGATGTTGTTTAACTAATAAGTTAAAAAATCAATCATAATTAAAGTTTATTTTAAGGTATATTTTGAACCAGTAAATTTAATTTATTCGGACCCTTTTATGTGTACAATACTTTATACTTTATATATCGCTAAAATAACTTATAATCAATACAAAAATATTTATTTAATTAGTAAGTAATAATATAAAAACGTTATAAAAACATTAATGAAATTAAATAAAGTTAAAAACACATGAAACTTTGATACAAATATTTGAATTTAAATTAGTGTTTTAAATACATGTAAAGAATTTTTTTAAATATTAAAAAGTATTATTAGTTAAAAGGAAACTTAAGTTTAAGGAGATTTTAATTTTGGTAACATGAAAATTTTATATCAGAAATTCTCAAAAGCTCATTTCCATACTCTGAAATAGTAATGTAATGAGATTATGAAATAAAAATAAGCTTGTATCATCTGCAAATAAAACATTAAATTTTAGGCTGTATGAGAAGTGTTGATGTAAATAAAAACTGAAATGCTGATGTAAATGAAATCTGACATGCTAATGTCAAAAACAACATGTTTAAGTTCAATTAGGGAAGTTTTTATCCGTTTTATCCGTTTAGCACATATTTATGGAAAACTCATTGCAAAAATCAAAAATCAACAAGAACACTTATCCAAGATATCCAAGATAATAGCAAAAACTTAACACTTTGTAAAAGATACTACTAATCTCAGACATTCCCGCCCTGTTGTTGTTGTTTTCGTTCAATTTTGTTAAATGGGTAATTTCCGTTCAAATAACGGAAAATAATTCCGTAAAAGTAAGGGAATTTTTAACAGTGTAGGGGTCCGAGGATTGAACCATGAGGAACAATGCAAACGATATCAAGACATTTATTTTGATAACCGTAGTCAACTAATTACAAAGTGTTTTCTTTTGTTTAAAATAATTATATATTATGTATAT